CCAAGGTACATCAATATATATTTTACTGGTTTTTGGCTTTGAAGCGAGGATAGAAGTTCGAGTTGCTAAAAGGTGGCCACACACTCCTTGCTCCAAGTAACCTCTTTGCACTCCTCATAACCTTGAAAAAGAGCGAGCATCTCTAGCCTGACTTAGAGATGAAGCAATTAGTTTGTTGACATGACAAGCCCGGTGAGTCTTTGGATAAATTTTGATGCCCTCGTATTTGAAAAGTAACCCAAGGAAGTCACCTAAACCTATGCCAAAAGTACACTTTAGAGGACTGAGTTGCATCTTATACATCTTTAGAATGCGAACATTTCCTTTAAGTTCAAAATGTGTTGCTCCAATGAGTTACACTTTATCGAGAGGTCATTTACATACACTTCGATATTTTTGCTTTTTTTGCTTCTTGAAGACTCGATCAATCATCCTCTAGTAGGCTGCCTAAGCATTTTTCAAGCCAAAATACACTATGTTGTAGCAGTATAGGCCTTGGCCTATGACAAAGGAAGTATTCTCGTAGTTGCCCGAGTGCATTTTGATTTGGTGGTATCTGAAGAAAGCGTCGAGGAAGCTTATCACCAAGAATCTAACAATTGAGTCAACCAAAGAGTCGATCCTAGGAAAAGGGTACCCATCATTTAGGTATGTCAAGTTTAAGTTGGTGAAGTCGACATGTATCCTCCACTTGCCACTCGCTTTCTGGACAATCACAACGTTTGAGATTCAGTCAAGGTATTGCACATCCTTGATGAAGTTAGTGTCCATGAGTTTGCGAACTTTTTCTTTATTAGGCCGGCTAGGATACATATGGACTTTTTTATTTTTTGCTTTATGGGTTAAGCTTTTGTCTTAACATTCAATTGGTGATAGGCGGCTCCCATGTAGATTTCTAACATTTTTGCTACCGCCTAAGCAAAGACATCAAGGTCACCCCTGAGGGCTTAAATGAGTTCGCCTCAATATGCAAGGCTGAAGCATGAACTTATGATCAAGGTCCTCTCTGGGTTGCCTTCTATTATACGGACCTTCTACACTGCCTCAATAGTCCCTAAACCCAATCCCCTTCCCACTTTGAGTTATAGAACCTCTTATGGGAGATGGGGGCCGCTGCCTTCCTTATAACCTTTAGGTAGTATGTGCACGACTGAGTGAGGTTGCCCCTCACCTTGATGTCCCAACCTCCACCCGAGAACTTGAATGACATGTGGTATGTTGAGACGATGACCCTGAAAGTGTTCAAGAGAGGTCACTTGAAGATGGCATTATAGAGGGTTGATGCGTCCACTATGATAAAGTTGAGCATCACGATATACCGGTGATTGCCTTTACCCCAAATGACTAGAAGGTAATCACACTCATGATTTCTCATCGCCGGAGAACTAGTAAAGAGGATTTGCAATGAGGAAGAGTTGGGAAGCAAGTAAGTTCATTTTTTAAAAGAAAATTAAAAATGAGATTAATAGACTACCTGTGTCAACGAGAATGTTTACAATTTAATAATTGGCAACCAATGCACTGACTACTACTAGGTGATTGAAGGGATTCCCACTTACCGAATTATATGCTTAACAAAAAAAATTAGGATGACTTCAATTGCTAGCACCCATGAGGTGGTAGTTGAGTTGACCTTCCCCATGCGAGGTCTTTCGAGGCAGGCTTTTCGGAATCACTCAGCTCTAACTGATTGATCTCCATGTGGATCCTTGCCTTTGAAATGGCTCCCTCCTCCCAGGTGAAAGTGTCTAATGCAAGATCTAAAGAGCAGTGCGAGTCTTTAAAGGCAGTCCTCTAGTTACGGGGGCGAGTCATTAAGAGTACTACTAAGGCCTCTAAACGCAAGGGCGAATCAACTTGGATGGAAGGTCCAAGAATAGAGTACTTATTGAGCCTAAGAAAACGTGACCATGGGCCTCTAAGGTGCCCCCTTCTTGTAGCTAGATCAAGAATGTCTACAATAGGCGAATAATATTGATTATAGATAGCGAATGTGGATTAATTGTCCCTATCGAGGAGAGTGGTCTCAAAGGCTCGGATTGGCTTGGAAGAGTAACGTGAACATGGGCCTCTGAGGTGTGCGCTTCATTTAGCCGGATAAAAAATGTCTGTAGCAGGTAGGTAGTCTCGACTATGGATAGCCGGTGTGGATTAACCATCCCTATCGAGGCGAGTGGTCTCTAGGGATCATATTGGCTTGGACAAGTCTTCATGCCATGATGCCTTCTGAGAGGGAGTGGCCTTGGATCTATGAGATGGCACCAATAAGCTTGATGCAAGGTCATGCTCTCATTAGCTGTGTTCCCTGTTGGGTGGCATGGCCGCTTTGGCCGAGTCTCATAGAACCTAGTAAGTACTTGTGAATCACCCATACACAAATATGTATATATATAAACTAATTTAAATACCTTGATTTAATAATATATGAATATATATGTATTTGCATTTCATTCAAAAGGTTTCATCATTTGCACACACCAAATTCATTGTCATCTCACACGTGTAGGTAATTTTCGTGTTTTGCTATCATACGGTGATCTAAGCAACATGAGGTTCCATTTTGGATATTTTCAAAGCTTTTGATGCATTGAGATGCTCTTTTCCCAATTCAAGCAATGCTCGCCCACTTTTCAAGTAAATTTTTTTTATCTCTTTCCTCACGAGACACCAAATAATGTAGATGTCCATCTAAGGCCATTTTGACTTTCCAGACTAATTCTCATAATCCATCTTATGAAACAAATATCAATAGAGTAACTTTTTATATGTTTGATGCATTTTAAACCCGATTTGTGCACTATGGAAAGCACTGTTTATTGCTTAGCTATATTCGATTGAGGCAATTGCGAGATTTCTTTCTTGACAATTTCAATGCTCCAAATGTATTAATAGAGTTTACTTTGTGCAAGTGGCAATGATTGAGTACTTTTAAGATCTGCAATGCATATTGAACCGGAATCATGCAACGTCGCGTTCATTGTTCATCATCTTCATTGTATTCGATCGAGGCAGGTTATTGAATGCACGCGTAGGTCAAAACTTACCACACTATTCAATCTTATATGATATTAGACGCCTTTCTACTAGTTTACAGCATTTTATCTTGCCTTTGTCTTTTATTTACCTAGTTTATACAGGAAGCTCTATAGGACTTATGCTAAGAGCAAGCAATGGACATTGAAATGTATACCCTATTGAATCAATGCATTTGGGCTCTTTTTATCTCGCCTTCTAAGATTAAGCTTATTCCTAGTTGATGGGTTTATGTTATTGAGTATCATCTTGATTGTTCTGTTGATTGCTACAATATTAGTTCATTTGCAAAAGCATTCACTCAAGCCTGTGAGATTGACCATTTTGACACTTTATCAAATATCATCAAGTTCAAGTCTGTTGTTTTCTGTTCTTTGTTGCTATCAATTAGAAATGGTTTGTCTTACAAATAGAGTAATGCCTTTTTTTATGATTGTCTTTCTAAAATTATTTATTTTGAGATGAGACAAAGGTAAGTCAGCTCAAAAAAGTAATTTACTATAGAAAAACAAAATCCTCGAGCTTGATTCAATAAAATTTACAAAGTTATTAACTAAATTGGCCTGCAGAGTAGCACTATAGATCACTCTATCTTTGCCCAACATCTTCTAGCTCTGTTATCTTTGTTCTCTCTGTCAATGGCCACTTATTTGTAGGAAGTAATAAAAAATGAATTATTAAAACAAAATATTATTTGCAAAAAATATATCCAAACAAGGATTTATGTTACCAAAATATGTTTAGGGGATCAAATACATATAATAAATAAGAAATTTTCCCTTCTCAAAGAAATAATGCAACTAATCTTCTTGGGCTTTTAGGTTGCGAACATAGTGACAGTCTCATTGATCTTTAACAATGCCAACGAAGCATTTTTTTATGACATCCCTTTTTATCAAAGATTAATCGGAAAGTTGATATATCTTAAAATAATCATACTAGACATCTCGTTCATCATTGTAGAAACTCAATACATACAAAATCCAAAAGAAGCAAAAATGGTCATTCGAATTCTCCAATATATAAAAAAATCCTTAGGAAAAAGATTATAGTTAACACTAAAACTGAGCACCCAAATGTTGAAGCATTTTTCGATGTCAATTATGCTTAGTAGAAGCACAACATGATATTGTATCTTTATTGGGAAAGTTTAGTCATTTGAAAAAGTAAGATATATACAGATGTGGTTGGATCTAATGTTGAAGCTGAATATGAATCCCTAAAACACTTTGTATGTAGAATGATATCGAATTATTGATGCAAACGCTTTTCCTGTCACTCAACCTTTGAAATTATATTGGAATAATTGTGCTACCATCTATATCACCAATAATCCTATTCAAGATGTTTTTATTATTATCATTATTTTTTTCGTTTAAATGAAAAGTCAAAACCATCACTGAAGCAAGTGTGCTCCATATCTTCACAATGACAAGTAATTTGGAGCGCAATATTAGAGAGGACCCCTTGCTATTGAACTAGTATTTGGGGGAAGTATTTATTCCATTAATCACCTGACAAATAAACGCAAGAATGAGCGAGGCTAAGGGTGCTCATATTAAGTTTTAGAACAAATAGGAATTAAGACTCCAAAATGATCCATAATATTTTTATGCGGCCAAGTTAGTCCTCGAGTATGATATTTATGTAATTTAGTTAATTGACTGTATAAAATAAATCCAAAATGATATGAACAGAAAAAACACCAATACCATTGTAATATTTTTTGCAGCTTCTATGCCACCAACCACTTAACTAACACTGTTTTTTCTCTAAATCAAAAGTGTACATTCAAACCCTTGGAGTAAAAATAATATATGCTTTTTACAAAAAAAATTGAGCATGCTGTATGAAGAAATTTCTAAGATCATGAAAAACCACATACTTAGTAGTTTGTAATTAATATACTAATGGTTTCATGTAGCTCTTTCGAAATAAATCAGAAGTATAAAAATATCCGTGTGTACCTCAAAATGCAATCAATTCCATATTGCCATTTTCCCGGACATTGGAGAGCATCTATTGCTATTATCCTTGTTTTTCGTCTATTAGTGGCATCAAATGGCTTTTTATCCACACAATCACCAACAAAACGGAATGAGGAACCATACCTAATGGAAAGATAAAAAAAATAATTAGGCAACATTTTATCTCAAAATAATTATCATAAGTTACAGCCCATGTTAAGATAATTACATTAAAAACACTAGACAAAGATCATTAATTCATTAGAATATGTAAGTACTAATAGAGTATATTATGTAAAGTATGTCTAAAAGGCTGTTGCAAAAGATAGAAATGGTTAACTGTATTATTGAATCACCATTTCTTTACATTTCTTTGCAAGTGAAATGGTTCTCAATGATACTGTGCAGGAATATAAAGAAAATAGCAACATGCATCAATGATGATGAACCCAAAAGTTTAGAGTTTAATTGGGGGAAGCAGAGCATACCATTTTAGGCCGTGCAGTTTTGATTAGCCTGTGCAGTTTTGACTTTTGATTGTTACACATTGTATCTTTAAAATATCATATCATTTCATGATTAAAATGTAAAAACACTGAAGAATGTTCATATAAGAACACTGACGGCTCATGTGAATGAGAGGTCAGGATCTGATTAGCCTGTTCAGTTTTGAGTTTTGATTCTTACACATTGTATCTTTAAAATATCATATCATTTCATGATTAAAATGTAAGAACGCTAAAGAATGTGCAAGTACATAACACAAACTCATAAGAAAGTGTGCACTGTGCAAATTCAACAACAACATGAAGCCTCTATCCCACTATGTGGGGTCGGCTACATGAATCCTTTTTCTTCATTGTGCCCTGTTAAAAGTTAAATTCTCACTTAAACCTAATGTTTTAAAAACCGGACCAGACCGACCGGTTCAACCGTGAACCAGTCATAAGACCGGTCCGGTCCAGTCTTAAAACCGCTTCTGCATCGAACCGGACTGAAACGATCAGAACCACCGGTTGAACCGGCGAACCGGCCGGTTCAAATTCCACAATTTGCAAATATTTAAATAAATTATTTAATTATATTAAAGATTAAATATTAATATTTTTTAAATAAATAAATTAATATATATTTAAAACATTTAATTTAAATTATAATATATTTGCCCCAAACCATCATGAAATATCTTCACATAGCTCCACCACTCCATGTGAGTTCTTAATACATGGAAACTCAAAAAGCTATATAAACAATAGCAAGAAAGTGTTTCCAAGTGATGTGGGACTAAAGAAAAGAGCTGAGGTGTGTATGAGCTCATAACATATATAATATCTAAAAAACATATTTTTAAACAGAATTTTTAATTAATTATTTATAATGTGAATGATGCTTGTTTATTAGTTAATAATAACGTAAATATAAAATGATAAATTTTTTTATATACTAATGAGTGAATAATATAAAACATAAAAAAACATAAGATATGAAGTTAAATCAAAATATCTCAATAATAAGACAACATGAAATATAGTTCAACTCAAAATTCTATCTTTCCCAAATCCCAGTATTCTTTTCATTAACATATAATTTCAATTTCCAAAAATAAACAACAATGACATATCACATAAGAACTCATAAGTCATCAGCATTGTCATCACTAAGGGTTCTTCATTTGAATCATCATTATGGTGAACTTCTTTCTCCCCTTCCTCCTCTCCTATAGAGTCCAATGTCGAACATTTACTTAAAGATTTATGTAAGTTTTAATATATATAGCATGAGGCGTAAGCCTCATGCCAGTGAGGCAAGGAGGGCCTCAATCAAGTTGAGGCGCAAGCCTCATAAAAAAACTCGAGGCGTAAGCATCAAGGCCTTTTTTACTGGAATTGCGCAAAGGCGGGCCTTAAGGCAAGCCTCATATTGCGCAATTTTAAACCATGATTTAAATTCAAAAATCAAATTTAAAATTTGAAAAATATTTAGATTTAAAATTATCATATTTTTATGAGTGTACATTTTTATAATTATAATATTTAGATTTTTTTGTTTTTATGTGAGATTTTAAAATAATTCTTTAACTTATTTATGTAAGTTTTATGTTTCATAGTTTTTTTTTTAGTTTAACTTTTTGCCTCATACTTGGAATGATAACATTATTATTATGTTAATTTTATTAAATTTCAATAATATTTATTATTTATTACGTCATTCGGTTCAACCCTGGTTAGATTGGTTGAGCCAATCAAACCTCTCCTTCTTGTGGTTCGTTGTTCGGTCATATTTTCATAACCTTGCTTAAAACTAATAAAGAAAGGTCATTTCTAATATTTTCTAACCAAGTTTTTTAGGTCTACATCTACCTTTCTTAAAAGAAATCAAATATAATACATCTATTTTCCTAACCAGGTCATCAGAAGGCCATCATTTTAAGTGACTAAACCATCTAAGGAGACTTTCTCTAATCTTATCTTCCACTAAAGCTACTCCAACCTTTTCATGTATATGCTCATTTTTGTATCTTGTCTCTAACGAGCAAAGCCACTAATCCACCTGAGCAACCTCATCTTTGCAACACTTAATTTAATATTATACTTATCTTTTAATGGCCAACATTCTGCATCATAAAGCATTGCAAGTCTAACCACCAACTTATATAATTTTCCCTTAAGTTTGAGAAGGACTTTTCAATCACACAACAAGCCTGATGCATTCCAACACTTCAACCATCCAACTTGAATTCTACTAATAATTATAACAACCAACCATACAAGCCCGATGCAAATTCAACAAAAAATATAAATGCATTGGAATGTGCAAAACAAACACATGAAGTCGAAATTATCACATCTCAAAGCGCCTGAAAGATACTAATTCGCATTTTACACGCACCAAATGCGCAAGATACATGCAAGCAGATAGAAATCGACAACTTAAAAAATAAAAAGAAATTTTGCATGCGTTGAAAATGGCAAACATTCATGCCAACAATCAAAACCAAGATTTTGTTTGGAATAATGTGCACGCAGCTTGAGAGAATCTTCAAACCCAATTGCAATAACTTGCAAAGCATACAAGTGCATTGAAAAGCGTATAAATGCGCTATGAAAATGCACTGAAATCACAGAAAATGCAGTATGAAATAACATTGTTGCATGTGCAAGCGCACTGTACAAATTCAACAAAAAATAGTAGTGCATTGAAATGCATAAAAATGCATCATGCAATGCATAAAAAATGTGGAAGTGCATTGGAAACCATGCAAATGTAAACAAATCAAAAAGCATCCAAGTGCACTAATATAAGTACACCAAAAATCATGTAAGTGTTCAAGTACGTCACACAAGTCTTAAAAAATGTGCAAATGCATCATACAAATGTATTAAGAAAATATGCATGCGTATAAAAAAATGTGCAAGGGTACTAAAGTAAAAAATGTTCAGTCATGCACCGACTAACGTGTTAATGGCTAAACATAATTCTTACCCCCTTCAAACAAGTTCAAATAAGGTTTACCTATGATGAACATAATAGAGTGCAATCCAATAAGTTTAACACAATAGATTATAAATTTGATGCAACATAATATAATCACAATAGTTATAATATAACACATTATTAGATATATACTAAAATAGAGTACATTACAACAACTATAACACAACAAAGAGCAATCCAACTACTATGACACAACATATTGCAATCTAATTACTACAACAAATTGATCTAAGTAGAAACGATCAATCAAAGAATAGAATGCTCGATATAGATGTAAACAAAATACATTGGATCAATCAAAGAATGAAGAATAAAAATACATATCTTTATAAAATAATTCAATTTTTTTTAAAGGACCTACGAATCTACAGTAATATGAAATAAATCTACACGAACGATCACTGTAGAATTGCATATGATCAGGTGCAATTTCCAAAAGATTTTTGTTCAAAATTAGGTAAGTTGTGTGTGGTATCAGGTGTGACATATACTCCATTATCTCTGCTAAAATTAAGAAATAAAGTACTCATGGGACCATAAGTCAAGTAATACTTAAATTTTCATTAAACTTTCAAATGGCTTACAATATGATGGATCTTGGAACCTCATCAATGTTGGCCCTCTCAACTGTCAAGGAGCATTAGATGAGAAAATTTTAATAACTCAGACATCTTAAGAAATATAAGAAAGCATTCACAAAATGAACTCATCAACTGCTAAAATCATATTGTGCTTCCACTACCTGCTCCTATCTCCATATCTTTGGAGTTATCTACCAATCATGACATCCAGTATTGAAGAAAGACAATTGCTCATCATCAATCGAGCGAAGAAAAACAATGACGCAAGGATTCATGAGCTTATGCCAGTTTCTTGATGGACCTGTGAAGTCATCAATCAAATACTTTTATTGATTTCCACCTTTTATAATCCTATAACTTTTCCTCACCCCTATGTACAATAACAAACGATGTGCAAATATCTCCTACTCCACCTCCACCTTCAATAAAAAGGATTTGTGAACATCCCTTATCTCCTCCACCTCCTTATCTATTTTCTCCTTCTCCATGTCATCGCCAACCTCAACAAAATAAATGGTTGATTCATCAGCAAATACCTCATCATTATCCTCCTCCCCCCTATGTACAAAATTTTAAATAAGATTTATTAGAGCATCTACGGTATGCTTCAACCTCAAATAATTAATTTCCAATCTAAGTCAGTTGCTCTTTAGCTCTTTTATAATAACAAAAAGTTGCTTCAAACTTTAGGAGGATGGTATGAACTAATTCGTAGCTACTTGTTTTTCAGCCCCCTCTCTTTTCTCAAAATGGCAATCACTTTCTTCTTAAATCTCTAAGTGAGATAAGGCTGAAAAAGGAGTATGTATGATGGACTTAAAGAGATCCTTCTTATCAGCTTTATACACCATCATAAGATAAATAATCACCCACAAAAAATAATTTTAAAAAACACGTGAGTCAATTTACAATAATAATCCACCAAATAAACTAATAGTTAAAATGGAATACTTTGCATGCCTTCTATATCTTTATTCATCAATATTGACAAAGAAATATTTGCTCATGAGCACCTTGCTTCTCTTTCAACTTAGCATCCTTAGTTCTCTCTCCAAGAAACTCAGCCCATTTTACTCCAAAGTTTGGGATGACTTCATAAGCCTCATACTGCAATGATATGCACATCCAATTATAATTTATTAGGCAGCGTATTCTTCTTTAGAGCAATAGCCCCATAATGTAATATATCCTTCTTTAACCCTCATCTCCCATGATAGCATATCCGATGGGCAACCAAAGAACACTTTCTCATATTCAACAAGCTAATCATCTCAGTAGCATGGTTGATAAGGACATCATCAATAAGGTAGCTTCCACTCCATGAATGCTTTTTTTTAAGTTTGCATTCTAGAAATTTTTGTCTCCATTCTAATAATTATTTATTAGCCACTCTTTATGCTCATCTTCTTGAATTCCTCCCCAGATGAAAATTCGTCACACTGCAACCCAGTAATCAAAGCAACTTCAACAACGCCAAATTGATGCGGACATCCAACCGTCCATGCCAATCGGAGGAGCTGAAGATCGACGACCGAGATCACTTTGTTTTATTTTTGTTTATTAAGTGTATTTTAATTTAGTTTTGCAATTTCCCTTCTTACCCTCTTATCTTATGTAAAAGCCCAAGGGGCAAATGTGTCTTTTAAATCTCTTTTGAGGCCTATATATAGAGGCCCCTTCTCTTGTATTAAGATGATGGATTATTAATAAAAAAATTTGCGTTTTGCACTTGGGTTCTTTAGGAAGAACGTTAGCAAAATCCCTATGGGAGGGAGCCGGAGTTTCCACCAGCCGCAGGATGGGTCCGGGCTCGTGGCGTGAAGTCCCTTGGAGAAGGGCAACGTAGTACCCGTCAGCCGCAGGATGTGTCCGAGCTCGCGGTTGTATCTTTGATATTTTGTTTATTTGTTTTTGTTCCTTTTTATTGTTCCTAGTTTTCATCTTCACCCTCTACCTACGTCCACCTTCATCTTCTCCATCTCCAAGCCGTCGTCTCCTTTTCCACCATGCCGCCGGCTCCACCTCATTAGTCGCCGGTCGAACTCCTCCCACCCTCTTTGGGATTTCCTAATTTGGTTGGGTCAATTTAGGGAATTCATTTGAATTTGAAATTATTCAAATTTCAAATTCTTTCCTAATTTGGTTCCTCTATTTTAGGAAAGTTCTTAATTTACATCCATTTGAATTTGAAATTTAAATTGGAGTGAATTATTCTCTTTCCTAATCTTTTCAAACCAAATTAAGAAGCCTTAATTAGCCTAATTAAATTCCACAGCTTGTGCTTGCTGCCGGCCCCCTATATGGCCAATTAGGATTGATTTCCTAATTGACTCCTATTCCCCTTTAGAATATTACCAAATCTCCCCTCCATCACTCAGCCGAGATTTCCATTACCTGTCTTAATTCATTTGGTTTCCTAATTTAAGAAATTTACTTAGGAAATCCAATTCCTTCCCCACCGTTTATCAACCCGCCACCCAGCTTCTTTCCCGTCTCAGCTTGACACCCCTCCCTCTCTCTCCAATCACCTCTCTCCCTCTACCTAAGCCAAGCACTTTGAAGCCTTGAGTTCTCTTCTTCCAAGCTCCTATTTTTACTTTGCATAATCTGAAATTTCTTCCATATTACTGGAGAAAATCTGAGATTACTTTCAGATTTTTGGAAACGACATTTGGAAGTTGAGTCCGTCTCCTCAGATTTTCGCAATCAAACCCTTCCGTTGCTCCCTCCTTCCCTTATGCAGCCGGCCTGCTCTTACCTCCCCTCTCTCTAACCGCCCACCTCCCTCTCATAACTCTCAAAATTAACTCTAGAGAAGGAGCGAACAGCAAGGGAACTCTCAATCCCTTACACCACTTCCTTTCCTCCAATTGATCACGTAAGCTTGATATTTTTTTCTAAGTGGGATTGCTGCCCAGAAATCCTAAAAGTTGGAGAACTGCTGTCCAAGATTTATAAAGCTGATTTTGGGAAGAAAATCTGAGAATTTCCAAACTCTTCCTTCTCCCTAGCAAAGCCACCTCCCCGTTCTACATCACAAATGTTATGTTCTTACCCCCAAAGTTGAACACAATGGAATACATATTATTCTCATAATCATCAATCATCCACAATAACACTTGATGAATTAGGGGGGCCCAAAGAGCTACAATTCAAGAGATTTAAAATACTGACTAAAAGGGGATCTCTTAGCCTTGTCAATGAGATAATTAGTCTCTTTTCTAACAAATACAAAAGATATGAAGATGTTTGATTAGGTGAAAACTTAAGAAAGATTTACATACATACCATTGAATTTTTATGTATTGCCTATCTAACAACTAAATATTTATATTTCTTTATACAACACTCTAATGTATATATTATATCAAAGTATATACATGAAAAGATGTATTTTATTTTGATAAGTTAATATTAGTGGTGTTTTTAATATCATTTTGATATATAAGTAATTATAAATATTTAGATGTTAGAAATATAAATAAATGAAAATTCAATAGTGCGTACATATAAAGTAACTTCGTAACTGGTTCAAAGAAAAAACAAAAGTAACATTTAGTTCAAAGTTCACTTCATTCATAAATCCATTGCAAATTCACTTTGAACATGTTCACTTTACACAACATTCCATTTGAGCAGATCAAATTGCACCATAAATGCACAAAGTTTCTCTACCATCCTTTTATATGGTTCAGTATCTAAATTTAGTGGAAGATTCTAATCTGCACGCAAGTGTTAAGTTAAAAAAATGCAACCCAACATCACATTATCAATCTACTAGAGCTAGGTGAAACCTTGAAATGCATTTTATTTGGCTACAAAAATTTCAGAACATTGAGAATTCTAGACCATTTAATTAGGTCCTATAGTAAAATAAGTGCTAAAGAAATAAGAAAGAAAGTTCATTTAAAAATAACTTTGATGGCATTTACCCAGTGTAATTTGAAAACCGTTCTGAACCAATAACCTCTATAGCTTCATTCTTCTGCATGGAGACCATAAAAAGCATCCCCACAATCAACTCTGGATTGATCATGAAGCGGATCTCTTCCTACATGTATATAAAATAGAGCAAACAAAGAAGAAAACTTATAAACATGGTTGCAAGCAATAAGTTCACCTTCGCCTCATTAATGCAAAAGATAAGCAATTCCAGATTTTTTTTAAACTAAGGAAATAAATCACTCAAATAATGGTAAAAACAAGAAAAATGGAGCAAGGCGTCTTGGTGGGCAAGGGCAATGGGAGAAGAGAAAGGCTGATCCAAGAAAATAAAAGCAAAGTTAGGGCAAAAATAAGAACACTATAGAATACAATTTACAATGTAAACAAAACTATGGATGCTAATAAATAAACATTATTCAACATTCACTAAAGACCGCCAGAAAATATCTAAAATATACCTCTTAACCCCTTATTTATAGGGTTAAGAGGGCTATAGGAAATGCTACACTTACAAAAAAATTCCAACAGTCCAATTCACCTTTAGTTGCAATTCACAAAGATTATATGACTTCTTAACTGTTCTTAATACCCACTTTTGATTCTATTCTCTTGCTCTATGTAATAGACTTGCTAATAAAGTCCGGTGTTACTCACAGACAAATTTGAGACAAATAGTCCAAGTCACTTGTAGCAATGTTGATTGGTGTTCACAACTATAAATATTATAGTACTAGGGCTTTCATGTTAGAAAAATCAAATCTTGTTTGGCAAGAGGGGGAAAGAAAAAAAAAGTTGTGCTAAGGATGATTCGGGAGCCATAAGTTTCGTACTGTCTAGGGCAGATAAGATTTGACTTGTAGTACGGGAGTCGCAACTTTTGAAAAGGTTTTTCTATTTTTAAATGAAGAAGCCTTCACTTTGCACAACAGGGACGACTACAATCGTATATTGCAGGCCAGTAGATGGCGACCTATTCAAGAAGGACTGACATGTCTTTAGAAGCCACGTATATAGGGGAACACATGCAACAACCACTTGCTCAGGAGCTTCTTGACACATCTCCCTCACCGCCTCTAGTTGGTCGCGAGCCTACTCCCCTGCCTGGTCACTAAGAAGTTGAGGTTCTGATGTGCGCCTATTTGTTGGAGACTTTGTCGGGGTATGTGTAGGCCTTGGAGGAGGAACTCGCTCACATCAAGACCAAGTTCGAGGAGGAAAAGAGCAAGATTGAGGTCTTGAAGAAGACAAGTTTCTCTATTATGGGCGATGAGGTTGTTGTCTAATGTAGGGAGATGAAGGCAAAGGTGTTGGCAAATCGCAAAACTCTTGGAATTATCGCAATCGAGCCAATTCCATGCTAGGAGCTAGTTCATTATGCTCCACTTAGTAGAAAAGAGCGTGGTTTTCCTAGTCATTCTCTCATATTTTATGCATTATTTCTAGGAGGCGAGTGATGTTAAATTATCTATATGTAATAAAGCATGTGAAGGCATTAGTGTAGAAAGTTATAAGAGTTTCTACATAATTTACAATTTTTATTTCTATTTGTTTTATTACAGATGGCTTGGTGAGCTCATTTGTGAGAGAACATGTTTCACTATTTACTTGTGGCAGCTCTTCGCTATTGCATGTGGCAACTTAATGCTATTGCATGTGGCAACTGAGTAGATCTTTTTGTAATAATGATAGATAAGATACAGCTCATTAATAAAGTATATGACTCATCTCAAAAATTGAGCCTCTTTTTTTTTCCTATAAATAACCCCTCACCCTTTGATTGTAGCACCTACTACTTCATTTCTTCATCAATGCTCTCTCTCCACTTCGCACTTCTTCACTTTTTGTTGGCATGAGCGTTACCTTCCAAGATGGCCATTCTAAAGAGATGTCATAAGGCTCTTGTCGAGAGCACTATTATTAGGTGTTGTTGGCGAATCAACTACTCGCGAATATGGCCTACTTTGGAATTGTTACAAGGATCCCAACCTTGAGGTGCGAGCTCCTTCAAATGATGAGCAACTTAATATCTTGTAGAAGAATGAGTTATCATTCGCTTATGATCACTTCAAGTTCACCATATACCTCAAGCTTGTTGAGATTTTAAATTTCTATGTGTTTATGCAACCTCTGATAATGCAGAACTCTATAGAAAGCATGATGACCTTCCTTTCCCCTCTGCGACAAGAGAAGATCTACTAGAGCCTCAGGTTTTTTTCACCACACATTCACTGTGAAGGCATTCAATATGGCAACATCCAGTTCTCATCGATTCACATGAGCATGAGAGGCTAGGTTAACAAGGTGAATGACTAGAAGTCCAAGTTCATCTTCATGAAGTCAATGATTGGTTGGGCAGTGCCCACCAACCACATTGCTTTCACTAAGTAAAATCTAGTTTTTCTCAAGCTTGATGAGGAGTCTCAAGCCTTCAACTACCTAAAAAGAAGGGTCCTACTTGTTTTCAAGCAAATGAGGTCGTCGACAGTGTATTAAACTTTTTATAGTAAATTACTCTCCTTCATTAACACTGTCGTTGACAGGTCCCAAGTCCTGTATGAGAAAAGTGGAGGGTTGCGTTAGGTAGTTGACAGCCAGCGTAAAACTTGTCGAACAATAATGACATGAATCCTTTAAGAAATTGTGTTAATGCTAGGGCGTCCCTTGGAAGCGACGCGCTGTATGGCCTGAATACAGTGACAAGTGTGCAAGGGCCGCTGCACCGGCGCCCGGGTGTAATGTTAAATAGGCAAGGGTTCCCACATTAAAGAGGAATGTGGGAAAAGAAGCTAGTCCATGAAATTAAAATTAGGATAGGAACTTGAAATATAGGTTCCCTTATAGAAAAATTAATGGAATTAATAAATATTATGATTCATAGGAAGTTAAATATTTTGTGCATTCAGGAAACTAAATGGGTTGGAGAGAAGGCTAAGGAAATTGATAG